AGCATTCAGGCGGCAGTAGGTTGTAGGGCTCACAGTCTGTAAATGTGTGTATATATATATAAATAATAAACATTCTAAAAATATATATATATATTTATTATGTTTTTTATTGTAAATGCAAGTTACTATTATTATTATTTAGAAGCATTAAATAAAATGAATAGTCAATGGAGGGAAAAAAATTATTCTTATTATTAATCGAAAAGTATTTAGTGAGACCTTATAATATAATTATAATTAGTTAATATAAGTTGTGTAAACACTAACCTCACCTGAATAATGGTGTACTTGATGTTGAAATACACTGGTAGAAATGTAACATACTACAATACTGCCATCTAGTGATCCACACAATTCAACTGACTCTTGATGAGACCTTGAACACAATGTTTAGAGCCATAAAACTGACTCTGGAATGGATGTTGAAGACATTAAGTAGCACAACATTATACTTCACTGTATTAAATATGAGCGATAATTCACTTTAAAGACCAGTTCAATAGTTTTTGCATCAGCAGAGACTGACAGTTGAATTTCTACACCAGATCTGATGGTTTATGGGTTGATGGCTCTGAAGCCTTGCTCATGGTCATGAATTCAATCCAGTTAGTACGGAAGCCTTGTGAGTAAACGCCGGTGTCGATGATCAGACCCCAGAGAAGGCTGCGAGCGGTTTTCTCTCTCCGAGCCAGACGCGCCTCTCGTTCGGTCACGTTGAAGCTGACGTTGATAAGCTGTACGAGCAGCAGGTGCAGCAAACCTCCCGTCACGATACTGCCGTACCAGGCACAGGTGAAACACAGAGCAGAGCTGATGAAGAGAGAAAAACAGAGAAAAATGGGTCATTAAATATTAACATGTTATATTATTAATACTCTATAAACAATAAAAATGCTGTTATGAACAGTTATACTGAAGCTGTGTGAACCTGAGAAACCAAACTTTTTTTCAAACATTTTTTTCCCATGTTAAAGAAATCTAAACCAAGTTAAAACCAATGCTGGTGTTGTTAAATATAACTAAAACAAATTTTTTTGTTAATTGAGATAAAGCTGAAATAAAACTAAACATGAAAAACTTAAAAACATATATATATATATATATATATATATTA